AGGGGACCTGAGCGGCCCCTGGGCAGGGCAGTGATGGCTTTGTGCTTCCAGAGGGACCTGCGGGCTCCGGCCCATGGCTTCCGACCACAACTCCCTGCTGCCCGACTACGACACAGATGACAACTATGGAGCCGTGGATTCTTCCGGTGGCACCGTGCGTGGCAACGATGTCGCACCCGGGACCTGGCCTGGCATCGTCAGCATCCAGGCCAACTGGGCAAATGGCACGTGGCACATGTGTGCAGGGGCCCTCATCAACCCCAAGTGGGTCCTCACGGTCGCCCACTGCTTCTATGGGGCCAAGTAAGGAGGGGCAGGGACAGGGATGTCCCCACAGCTCGGGCACGTGCCCAGTCTGGGAAGGGAAGGGCTGGGCTGCCCCAGCCCCTGGCTCTGCTCCCTCTCAGCCCTCTCTCCATCTGCCCCAAGGGATGTCTCCAAATGGGAGGTGGTGCTTGGGGCCACTGATCTGACCGAGCTGGGCCCCGAGGCAGAGTTGCACCACATCCAGAGGCTCCTGGTGCACCAGCACTACGCACCTGCCTTGGCAAGGAACAACATCGCCCTGCTGGAGCTGGATGAGCCCGTGGAGTGCAGCGACTACATCCAGCTGGGCTGTGTGCCCAACACTCCCCTGAGCGTGTCACAGATGAAAACCTGCTACATCGCGGGCTGGAAAACCACCCTGGATAGTGGTGAGTTCCCAAACAGGACACAGGCCCTGGGGCTGAGCTTGGGGACACGGGCTGGGCTTCCCAAGAGCAGAGGCCAAAGCCAGAGCCAGGCTGCAGGCCATGAGCCCCGGCACAGAGGGGCCTGGCCCTGGCCCAGAGCCAACAGCAGGGCCCCAGCGGGACAGCGCTGCTCCAAGGCTGCCCCCAGCCAGGGCAGGGCACCGACCCCGAGCTGCGGGGGCTCATTGCCCTCTGTGCTCCAGCTCTCAGACCACGCCTGGTGCTGCAGGAGGCCAAGGTGCGGCTCATCGATGTGCAGCTCTGCAACAGCAGCCGCTGGTACGGGGGGGCCGTGCACCCCCACGACCTGTGCGCTGGGTACCCGCGGGGCGGCATCGACACCTGCCAGGTGGGAGCGTGGCACCAGTCCCTCAGCCCC